CTTAAAGAAGATTCTGTGAGCGCTTATAGGAAGACAAGTACATATCAATGAGAGAATAAAAATACACAGGTAAAGTTTTGAAGGTGAACATGAGTAGATACTTGCAGGATATGATATGAGCGCCTGTATGCTTGAGAACGCTAACTGTCTCGTGAGCCACTTTAATGGGTGTGAAAATATGCCTGTGACCTTTTGAAATAAAGAGCAGAGAATTTGAATTTCTGTGAATGTGACTCTTCATCAGTGAAACAGAGGATTGCTTTAATGCATTATTTAATTTGGAAACTGGTAACAGAGTGGCAACAAAATTCATTCCATCTTTGTGCAAACACTTGGAAGAATTTGCTTTAATCAATATTTATTTTGGAAGAATTCACTGCACTTGAGAGAAACTTTAAATTAGCACGACCTTAAAAGATTTCGCTCATTTCATCTGGGGAAATCTCATCATGTTCATCTGCCACTTTAACTTACAACCCAGGCTGTTTACTGTTTCATACTGTTTAATTTTTATTATTTGAGGGGGAAATCAGGCTGACAGGTAGAAAGGAGGAGGCAAATTAGAGTAGACAGGGAAGAGGAGAGACGGTGGGTAGAGAGAGACTGAGAAACTGAGGTGCCCCGTGGAGAACAAATGGCTGGTTAGTAATATATGAGGGGCATCAGCTTACACTGAAGGATAAAAAGGCAGTGAGGCAGGGGATACACATCTGTCATCTGCTGTTCGCACACACACATGCACACCCTCATGCACCAGCTGGGAGAGTGTGATGTAACTAGTGACTATTGTTCCATGGCTCAATCCTGTTTCTCGGTTGCTAACCTGAAATCCACCCTTAGAAAAAAGCTTCAGAGGGGTAAAAGGCATGGACATCGTGGCCCGTCGCCTTCTCGACAACAACGGCAAAATCGGAAAATGCTTAAACTTTGTGAAACTCTAAATTATGTGTAAGAGCAGTTGTATTGGACTAAGTCACTTACTCTTTGAGTGTCCAGATAATTAAGCTGGCCATTGCTGCACAAGTGACTTGCAATCAAAACACATACAGTTTATGAATATGTCTAGACACATCATTTGGTTTGAGGGAGAAAATATTTTCTGAGTTAACTAATAAAACATTCAAAGCCTGCCTGGAAGCCATGACACAGCTTGACATCCAGGGAAATATGTGTATTTTTCAAGAAATGAACAGGACTGTGGATGATGTAGGCATAAAATATATTTGGGTTACAGAAGATTATTCTTCTGTGTCAAAGTCTTTTGCTTTAAATATCTAGCTATCTAACCCATAAAAGTAATATTATACACTATTACTTGTGTGCAGTAAAAGAAGATTTTTTTCATTTCCCATGAAATATTGAAAAAAAAATGGGAAAATAAAGTAGCAATTGTGTTTTATCAATATGGTATAGAGAGATGATGAATTTAAAATTTAACTAACATATGAACCCAGAACAACTTCATTGTATCTTAAGATTGAGTTTCATACCACTTTTATATCATTTTCTTTGAAGTTGATGAATTGAAAGTCCACAAATTTAATGTAGTAATTTTGGCTCAGGAGAAAGAGAGATTTATGTATCTCACAGAGTTTAAGTGTGTGCATGACAGTTACAAACCACTAAGTCAGAGCAACCTATATCTTACAGAAGCAACCTACTGATTTGGAAAATGACAAGCTGGCTCTGGTATTTGATAAGGCTGTTTCACTTTACACACTGTGCTCTGAAACCCATGTTTTCTGTGGCGTCATGCAGTAATTGTTTTTCACTGAGTTGAGCAGTGAGCATTTACATATGCTTTGACAGCTTATTTTTTTGAAAAAAAAAACACAAGCATTGTGCTGTATTGCTAGTGATGTATAAATGGCTTTACCTTCCTAAGGAGTAAAAATGAATAAATAAAGCTTTTTTTGAAACTTTACTATTTCAATATGCTAAACTCTAGAGTGATGTCACTTCCAGCACCGACATCCTCCTCCTGAGACAAATGGAATGCGGAAACAGTACATATGAAGACCATTAGCAGACTCAAAAAATTGTGTAAATTTATGTTGAATTAGCCACACACCATAAAATATGAGCCATTTGCTCAACCTACCAGTCTGCGTAGGGTGTACTGCTTACTATATTGAAGAACACATAGATGGTAGTGGTAGTTGGATGAGACAGCTTGGGAGTCAGTACCACAACAACAGTAACCATCTACTACTACTAAACTAGCTAGGCTAACTTGATATTAGCATTCCAATGCTAGGGATTAGCAATCATTTTACTGTAACCGCAAATGGTAATAAATGTAATTGTGAATACTGAAACTTGTGTTTCTGCTCTGTTTCGGCTAGCATGTTCTCTTTCTTTTTCTGAATGTTTGTGAGGTCGTGCATAATTATTTACTGGTTTTGTTCTGGGGCTCTGTGGAAATACCAGAGATAGCTGGTGATGCTAACATTTCACCTTTGTCTTTAATCTGCCATTAGCAAAGTGTAGCAAGTACATAAGCTAAAATAATTTAAGTTGGTTATGAGTAGTTGGGCCAATTCAGAAGATATCAGATTCGGCTCTAGGAGGTGAGTGAAGTACAATAAACATACAACCACAGATATTGTGATTACAGTTATTATTTATAGTGAAAATAAAGTGCAATTACCAAATACCAATATTTACAAATTCTGCAGACAGGGAAAAGATAAAACATAATTCAAGCTTGTAAAATATCCGCTGCACAGTGGTGCAGCAACCTCCTCCAACCCCCGGCAGACAATGTCCATAAAGTTGCTATTTCATGATTTGATATAAGTCCAACGCGTATGACAGTCTGTAACAGGTTGAAATTGGAAGTGTGATGATCAGAACTGAGATTCCAAGACTGAGATCTCGAAAGTGAGATTTGGGGGACTGAAAACCAGGGGGGGAGAGTGTAGGCCGCAGCAGCCTCCTACCAGACCGCAGGAAGTCCAGGGCACCACTAGCCTGCACTATAATCACAGGACCACTATTAGCAAAATTCATCTAAATTTCCCAAGCTAGCTTTAGTTCCAGTGTACACAATAAAGTTCATGAGAAAATACCAATATACAACAAATACATATCCAACCATTGTAATAAATTAAAATAAACAACAATCTCAAATAACAAAACTACAGCCACGTAAAGTGAGAGTAGTAGTAGTAGTAATGTAGTAGGCCTCAGCCTCAGCTATCCCATCAGCTAATAGCACTGGCATACTGATACAGGTTACAAATACAAACAAATATTCAGGCTCAACTCACCATTCACTACGTGCGATGTCACATACGAGCCCCCACGCATCTACCCGCGGCGGTATCAAAATACTGTTGAACGCAATCCACAATTAATTCAAAAACAAGTCACGTGGCGTGCGTCACGACGCGTCACGATGCCTTCACGGACCCGCTCCGGTTGGAATTTAAGATTCCAATTTAGTTATAGATGCAGTTCTTTTTATTTTTATGTGGGTTACAAAAGCAAAAAAAAGAAGAGCAACAGTTATTTACTATGCCAACTTATTTAAAGCACACATGAAAGAGATTGAGAAAGAAAAGTGATTGAGTATTTCGATCTTTAAATATTCTTTCATTTTATGTTCATCTTTTCATTTCAAAGTCATCTCAGTTTGCAACGTTTTTCCTTCACCTCTTCCACAGGATTTAGTCAGCTTAATATAAAAATGAGTTAAACACATTATTGTAACATCATCTAAACTGAACATTTGCTACATACTTTTTTATTTAAAACGTAAGTGGTGGCACATGTGTGCGCTATGTGTTAGTGCTGCTCCAATATAATAGTACAAGTTAATCCAATGTATTCAGTTTCAGTTACTTTAGAAAGGAAATAAAGTTAGAATATTAGGTTTACCATGCTAAATTTATTTAATTTCAGCATTTCAATTTTTAGTTTACCTTAATATCCTGCTGTAGGTAGTCTGCCGACACGGAACATGATTGATTATTAATTGCTTAATTGTGCCATGCAGTGTGGCTGTCTGAGAGCATCTGTGTTGTTGTGTTTTTGCATTCATTTATTAAGGTTTAATATGTTTCTGTTTCCTAAAGCTATTAAGACTTTGAGATTATCACCTGTACCATGACCAGATTCTGTTTTTGAGGAACTATAGAGTAAGACAGTTTGAGTAGGCCTCAATCTATTAAGTAGGTCTTGAATAGATTTTTTCTTGAGTGAGTGATGTGGTTGGATTTTTACAGTATGGACAAAGAAAACATTCATGACAAACTGGAAATCTGATATTTTTAGCAGAAAGATGCACTAATATGAACTATTTGTGTTAACAGGCAAATAGTTCCCATTTGGGAGCTTCATTCTACATGAAAATACAACACACCACATCACCGACTTCTGATATAATCGCTGATGTCACACAGTTGTAATGCTTTATCCTGGAGAGGTAAAGCAAGAGGGTACGAGAGAGAGAAAGTGTGATCATTGTTCCATGAAGTCTATTTTCTAGGTGAGCAGATATCCATCTTCCACCCTTCCTCTGGGACTTTCCCAACCATCCTCGAGAGCTGTACAGTAATATCGGCTTGTCAGGTGAATGTGGGTGTTCTTTTTTTTTTTCACTGTATCTCACAAGAACAGGGAAATAGATGAAAGAGAATGTTTGAATGTCGGTGCTCTTTTCCCTCTGAATGAGACAGTTTTTAGCTTCTGGACAGTTTTGAAATAATTTCTTCTCGTAGTAATACAGTAAATTGTGGGTGATGGCTCTGAGAGATGTTGGAAAAGCTCAGAAAGATTGGCAGAAATTGGCTATCATCTTCAAATCTTTGAACCTGCTTACTGCATTTCATGTTTGACGCCCTTGTCTTTACCTTTTGTCTTTGTTCTGATAGTTAATTCTGATCTTAAGTGAAAATTTTCTCCTAATTTCTCTTTCTTCTTCTCCTCTGTTCACTGCTACCTTTCTTTTCCCCTCTCTCTCCTTCCTGGTGCGGTGGGGCTGGCTCTTGATGCAGACTGGCAATATGAGGGTGAGAACATTCCTCCTTTTTCTTTCTCTGTTAACTGTGTGTTCAGTCACTGTGCTAGTTTATTAACCCCTGCCAACCTTACAGAGATGGTTATAGTGGGCTACGTCTGTCAGTCTCTGTACTGTCAGTTCTTGCCTTTCTTACTCCACCTCACCTTATTTATACACCTTTCATTCCCGCGATATAATTCGGCTGGCCTACAGAATCATTTCCTCTCTCTGTAAAAAGAAAAATGAGGTCATAAGCAACAGTTTATGTCTGCCAAGCTTTCCTTTTCAATCTCTGTGGAGTTGCCCTTAGACCTTTTCTTACACATGGTACTACAATCCTGTAAAAAGAAAAGAAAAAAGATCTGTCCTCTAAGTACTACATAGTGCTTAGAGGACCATTTAAAATGAAATTGAATAATGAAACTCAATATTCAGTAATGTATTAATGGTACCTTTTCATGTTTCTTTTTTCTCTGTTTTTCTATCCAGAATGCAAACTTTCCCGCTCGGGTCCTCCTGCTACCATAGTTGCCATCGATGAAGAAAGCCCCAACGGTAAAGTATTATTTTCTTTCTTGCTTAATGCTTCATAGGAGATTTTAAAAATGGTCTAAACTCAAGATGTGATGGGCGACCACTTCAGTATGATTACCACCTTTTAGCGTATGTTAGACAAACACTGTTTGAAAATCTTGACCTTTAAAAGACGCTGATTGGAATAGCATGTGGTGTGCCCTCATTAAAATATTCTGTGCCAACTGGGTCATAGTTGAAGCCTCATCTTATTTGAACTAATGAACGGTTCAAACTGCTATTGTGTTTTTCTATATGTGCTGTTTCGATCTGGTCACAGTAACTTCTTGGCGTTTTTACTAGTTGCCTGGCAACTTGGAAGTGATAACAAGATCTTGGTTTTGAGGTGAAATGTGTTAATTATTAAGGTTTGAAGTTCCTTGCTGGTCGATTTCATTACCTTTGTTTGACTGTCTCCAGACAAAGCTTCACATTAAACCAACAGCTAAGGAAGAGGTGCATTTCACTTGATTCAAGCTATATTAAGGTTTAGGAAAATCTTGTGTTTACAGGCTGGATTATGATGACTTTGTCAGTATTTTTAGAGTTTATAACTAATTGTGTTTCCGGTTATGTGGATATCTCTTCTCTTCTCTTCTCTTCTCTTCTCTTCTCTTCTCTTCTCTTCTCTTCTCTTCTCTTCTCTTCTCTTCTCTTCTCTTCTCTTCTCTTCTCT